AATCAGATGGGATACCATGTAGCTAAAATCGAAAAGGCTTGGGTCTTATTGTGAGTATGACAGGTGTAAGTGATCATTAAAAGAGGTCTATAATCCGAGTTCACTTTCGGAAGATGGTAAACGATGGCTTCCGAAAACTGGTTGTACCATCTCTAGTTACAAATGACTCTATCAAGCCATTGAAATAAGGTCTCACGTCGCCATGTAAAGTTCGAACCTACATAATCAAGCTGCTACAAGGAATTGACATTAATGAAGTGATTAAAGAGAACGTAGCCTTTAAAATGTTAAGTCACCCCTCCTCTTCAATTAGCTGCTTCCAAGATGGCACTGAAAGCCCCAACTAGGAGCCAAGGGCGATCCATGTGTTGCCCAATAACAGTGAACTCCTCCTAAAGGTCTTTACGTTTCTAGGGATTCGGACTTCCATAGACAATGGAGAGAGATAAGTCCTCCTGACCATCATTCTTGTTAATCCTGGAGTGGATCAACTGACGGTAATTGTATTTTATATTGACCTTGATAAACTCTTTCCATATCATCCATATGCCACTCGAAAAGTCAATCGCCTTAACTCTGTAAGAGTAGTTGAATCTCAGGTTCTTAATCACTTTATCCGTTTTCTCGCTCGCCATCCTAGGCTCCAATAAAGCCACCAATATGGGATTATGGATATTTACAAAGGACAATCCAAAGGTAATAAAAAAATGGTAGGAAGAGCTAAGGCTAAAAAAAAACTATGCTTGCTCCTTCTGAAGGGCATCATCCGCGCTCGAAATGAGACTTACGTCCTTATTGACAAGCTCTTGGAGTTTGGACATAAAGTGGTTAATCGTAGCGGAGGAAGTGGTCGTAGGTGCTTCATCCCCTTTTGTGGCATTTGCTTGTTTTTAGAAAGTCTTATTGACTTTTATGTTTTTAATGATACCAAGTCTATCCTGCATTTTGGTTGCTGTCCTAAAGTGATCTCTCAATGAGATCGTTTGTGACATGGGGCTAGGGGAGGAGGCTCGATTGAGTTCGTGGTCTTGGTTCATCTTATTTTCAATTATTATAATTGTATTCTTTAAAGGTTCTGCTATAATAGTGCTCCGACCTATGAACATATTAAATTAGATTAGATTTGTACTTTCTTCTGGATAAATAATCTAAAAATATTGACTTTTTTTTATATCAAAGAGAGGATTGCTCGATATCCTAAATCCTAATTTTTATGACTCTCTTCTTCCTTTGTTTTTTTCGAACCTGTCTCTTCATCTACCTCCCACTTGCCCATTTCTCCTGTACTTTAAATCTCATTTTTCTTTTGTTTGTTTATTTAATTAAATCCTCATTGAAAAGCGAAGTAAAATCCCCGTCTATTTTAAGGAAGCCAAACAGGCCTTTTCTTTCTCTACTCTTCTTCTTCTTCTTCTTCTTCCCCATATTATTCTTCAATTTTCTTGATCTATCCTGGTTAATTTCTTCCACAATGATCAATGGCAAGGACATTTACGATGTCCTTTCGGCTATCGTTCCTCTCTACGTAGCCATGTTATTGGCTTACGGCTCCGTCCGGTGGTGGAAAATCTTCTCGCCGGATCAATGCGCCGGAATTAACCGATTCGTCGCCGTTTTCGCAGTTCCTTTACTCTCCTTCCATTTCATCTCCACCAATGATCCGTACATGATGAACTACCGTTTCATCGCAGCGGATTCTCTGCAAAAACTTGTCATCCTCACCGCTCTCTTTCTCTGGAACGCTTTCACCAAAACCGGCAGCCTCGAATGGGTCATCACGCTTTTTTCCCTTTGCACTTTACCAAACACTCTCGTCATGGGGATCCCGCTTCTGCAAGCCATGTACGGAGAATTCTCTGGGTCGTTGATGGTCCAGATTGTGGTGTTGCAGAGCGTGATTTGGTATACTCTCATGTTGTTCCTGTTCGAGTACAGGGGAGCCAAGCTTTTAATCGCCGAGCAGTTTCCCGAAACCGCCGGGTCTATAACCTCGTTTCGAGTTGACTCCGACGTCGTTTCGTTAAACGGGAGAGAACCATTGCAGGCGGATGCGGAGATCGGCGATGACGGGAAGCTTCACGTGGTGGTTAGAAGGTCAAGCGCCGCGTCATCGATGGTCTCTTCGTTCAATAAAACGCATGGGATGAACTCGTTGACTTCTATGACTCCACGTGCATCAAATTTGACTGGCGTTGAGATTTATTCAGTGCAGTCTTCAAGAGAGCCGACGCCAAGAGCTTCAAGTTTTAATCAGACAGATTTCTACGCCATGTTTGCCAGCAAAGCTCCGAGTCCTAAACATGGATACACCAACAGTTTCCATGGCGACGTTTACTCTCTGCAATCTTCCAAAGGAGCAACACCGAGGACGTCGAATTTCGACGAGGAGATGTTGAAGATAAACGCGAAGAAACGAGGAGGGAGGAGTATGAGCGGTGAGCTTTTTAATGGCGGTCTGCCATCTTATCCCCCTCCGAATCCCATGTTCGCCTCAGGGTCCACAAGCGGCTCCGTCGGCGGTGGTACGAGGAGGAAGGAAAACGGCGGCGGGGGCGCAAGCATTTCGGCAGGAACGACGACGCCGAACAAGGAGCTTCACATGTTTGTGTGGAGCTCGAGCACGGCGTCTCCAGTGTCGGAAGGGAACATGAGACATGCAGTTCAGAAAGGCGGCTCCACCGATTTGGCCGCCATGGATGCCAAGCAAGAAAATGCCGCTTCAAGAGGTAAAAACTCCGAATACGGCGCCGTTTTAGTCATATATTTGTCTTTTCTTCATAATTTTATTGACAGAAAGACGCAAAAATTTCCAACCGTCACCTTTTGTCATCGGCGTTACATTTTCATCTTTTTTTTTTAAAGTGAAAAATAATTTCTTTACAATATTGTATTTGTGTATTTATATGCATGTATATAGTTTTATAATAGTATGGGGTTTGCATGTGTGTATGTATGTATACATGTATATACATACAGCTATGCAGCGTTTGATAGAGAATATGAGTCCGGGAAGGAAAGATCATCAGCAACAGGTGGAGATGGAGGAAGGGAGCAAGGTGCAGGGAGGTGTGAATGGAACGTCGCCGTTTAATTACCAGAAGAAGTTAAGCGTTGAGGGAGGAGAGGGAGGTGGAAGGAAACAGAGAATGCCTCCTGCAAGTGTGATGACAAGACTCATCCTCATCATGGTCTGGAGAAAGCTCATCAGAAATCCTAACACCTATGCCAGTCTCCTTGGCTTGGCTTGGTCCCTCGTGTCTTTCAAGTACGTCTACATATATATACACATACATATATTTATATACTTACTCCCTTCCATCAACTTGTATTCTTACTTACCCATCTAATTTTAATTCTAGTTGATCAATTTTTTTTTTTTTGGAGAAATTATAATTATTTTATAATTAATGTATATATGCCTAACATCTTACTAATAATAATAGATATTTACCTCCAAAAAAAAATGTAATTCTCATTATATACTTAATAATTCAAAGTAATTCTAATTTTGAAACGTATGATTAGAAAATAATATTTATTTTGTTTGATTAGAATTTTTTGTTATGTCTACACTTATTTTTGTATTTAATTAGTGATAATGGATTAAATGTAAAAATTATATTTTAGTTAAATATAATTTTTTGGGTGTATACAGGTTACATGTCAAAATGCCAAAAATTATAAGTGCATCCATATCCATATTATCAGACACTGGTCTGGGCATGGCTATGTTCAGTCTAGGTATGTACATGTAATCACTATTCCTGCTGTCAATTAAATTAATAGATTTGATTAATTAGTTAATTAGTGCTATAATTATAATACTTGAAACAGGATTATTCATGGCACTACAACCCAAGGTGATAGCTTGTGGGAAATCAGTGGCATTATTTTCCATGGCGGTTCGGTTCTTAACAGGTCCAGCAGTGATGGCTGCTTGCTCTATTGCCATTGGCATTCGTGGTGTTCTTCTTCATGTTGCAATTGTCCAGGTCAGCTTTTATATAAATCTGAATATATATATATATATATATATGTATATATAAATCCTAATTAATTAGTTTAACTAATTAATATATTAATTATAAATTATATGTTTGTTTTACTGCAGGCTGCTCTTCCTCAAGGTATAGTTCCTTTTGTATTTGCCAAGGAATACAACGTGCATGCCAATATACTTAGCACAGGGTGAGTACAGTGTGTGTGTGTGTGTATATATAATAGTAAGGAACTAAAGAATGATAACTTAATTATGGGTTTTGTGATATTGACAGGGTTATATTTGGAATGCTGATTGCCTTGCCGATAACAATAATCTACTACGTGCTTCTTGGACTATAATTAATTAATTAAATTGTTGGGAAGCAAAGTCGAGGAAATTACAAACAAGATCGGACCAAGTTGGTGGGAAAATATTGGATTCAGGGCCTTAGATAGCTAAGATGGGATCTGATCTGTATTATCCATTGCCAGTTGACCATTGACTGTGATAATTAATTATGTATACATAATTTTGTTTTCATTTATTAGTTATTTAATTTAATTTTTTTTAATAATTTAGTCAATTTTCAATGTTATTTATTATATAGTTATGTTTATAATTTAATTTTTTTTTTATAATTTAGTTAAGCAAAATTTTATTTAAAAATTATAAAAATAAAAATGTACATATATAGATCAATTATATCTATGAATTTTTTTCAATCACTTGTTTTCTTATAACATATATATATATATATATATTATTATTATATGATTGGATTCAAAGCTTACTTTATTAACTTATTGTCGACTGGTTGGGATCATCATGTACTTAATTATTTTTTAATTAATTAATCTAGCTAATGGTAATTGAAGCACATGACTCCGAG